TTATTCTTTCGGCTTAATTATCGGTAGTGATTTAAGGGTCTTGGGTTCAAGTTAACATTCTCTCTGCTATGGTTGATGATACTAACACCAGTCAGGCAGTGACCTCCTGTGATACGGAGCAGACCCACCCACGCTTGCTTCTCCCGGTCCATGGTTCCTGTGAAAGGACACACGTACCTCTGTACCAGGGCTCCCGGGAATGATCCGAGCCTGGGCTGGCCAGTTGTTGATAGACCCTTCTCGTACTCTTTTTTTGCTACCTAGCAGCAGAGATTTCTTTAAAATGTCTTAGGAAAATGAATGAAGGAAATAGAGTTGTTATTGTACCCTGAGAATCTAACAGGCTTTTCAATTGAAGGTGCCACCCTGTGTGTCATCTGTCAAGACAGAAGCTCGTTACGGCAGACGATAGTCCGGTTGGAGTTGGAGGACGAGTGGCAATTCCGACTTCGAGATGAGTTTCAAACTGCTAACAGTGGTGATGACAAACCACTCTATTTTCTTACTGGACGCCATATATAAGCTTCGCTAAGACATCACTGACAAAGAAAAAAAAAAACTTTTTTTTTTTTTTAAAAAAAAAAGTACAATCACTGTGGAGCAAAGTGCAACCAATATTTATCTAGACTGCTCAAAAGGATTCCTCACAATTCTGACTTAGGCTTTATTCCTAGGGATAAAATTACCGCATCGGTTATGAATTAAAGGATCCTGGATTCCAGTTGTTTTCACATCAGTCACAACCACCGACGCTGATCGCACAGCTCAACCAGACTGTAGGATCTAGGAAGAGGACATAATTTGAAGAAGAATCCTGTTTGTATTGAGCTGAGCTAGGGGAAGAAGCTGCTCTCAGCAGCTGCTAGCTTGAATGTGTCACACAAAACGCAACCCAGCACGCAGAATTTATTGAAGCTATGTAGAGGAGAGCCCACCGCGTCTCTTCAGCTCTGTACTGTGGTACAGGAATACTCAGGGGTTTGAAACTACAATATAACGTAGATATTTGTATTAAAAGGAATAGTCTTGTTCTCTGTGCAGTGTTAGCTTAAAATTTGTAACTGTGTATGTGTTGAAACTGTCTTTGGCAAAATTTCCACAGGTGTTCAAAGTTTACTACTTAAACCTGAACAAATCGGCAAACGCATGGCAGGCACTGTGCACCCGGGGTCTCCCAGGCACGGTATTTCACCCCATTAGGCACCTCCTCCTCCTCCTCCTCCTCCTCCTCCTCCTCCTCGTCTCCAGGGACAAAGCAAAAGGCTTCTCGCAGCTGCTCTCTCCTCAGTCAGAGGCCGGAATGGTTTGCCAGCAAATCACCATCAGTTTCTCACTCTTGTCTGAGTTTTGAAAACCTGTGGTCCGTCCTCCGTTGCATACAGAAACGAGTCCTGCTGTCCATCCGATGCCTTTGTGGTGGGCCGTATGCAACTTACCCTCTGTGTCCTTTCCACACAACTCCAGTTGGCTGCAGAGCTGAGATTCTGTCACCTCATACCCGTATGTGAAGCAACACACCAAAAAAAAAAAAAAAATGTGCAGGAGGGCAACGCTGCCTGAGCCGGGTGGGAGAGAAACAGAAGGTATTTTCCAATAGCTCCAGGGGGGAGCGGGAGAGAAGTCCCAGGGAGCTGGGACTGCTCAGGAGAGACTGTCCAGCTGCAAAGATCGTTGATTGCGTCACTTATCACTGCCAGCCCTTTATTTTTTGATTAACCTCTGTAAATATTGGTTGTAGCGGTAGTTGCACATCGTTCTACTTTACTTACAAGCATTATTACCGATCCTTGTTAAGCTGTTCGGGAATGAACTCGGTGCAGTGGTTTTTGGTTGTCAGGGTTAAGTCATATCAGTACTACATTCTACTCATGACATAAGCACAGGTTACCCCACTGAGGTTTCCATACAAAAAAAAATTAAAAAAAAAAATCATCTTCCTGCACATCGTCACCCCTTTATTAAAAAAAAAAATGATCTTAAAAGCGATTCAGGAATATCAGTTTACTCCCAGAAAAGCAATGAAATTAACACCTTTATACTTGACCTGCCACTCATTGGACAAGGACCTGCCAAAACTGCTTTTTTTTTTTTTTTTTTTTTTTTTTTTCTTTTTTTTTTTGAACAACAGATGTTTATTCTGTCGTGTTTTCCAAAAAAAATAAAGCCAGTATAGCTGCCAATTTAGAAGTAATTAACACTAAATGAGGGAAAATGCTTCAGAATATTTCTGTACTCAAGACAGACACATATTACTGCAATGTAGATACTATAACATTAGCCAATTTTTTTTTTTTTTTTTTTTTTTTTTAAGGCATAGTGTTGATTGAGCAACTTTTTTTATCTTGTGAAAAGAGATGTTTACAGATGAAAAAAACATAATATATTCAACGGAGGCTAAAGGAAAATGGTTTGCATATGTCTGTGTTAATGTAGCTTAACTCTGATGCTGTAAATTTAGCAAATTTCAGATGAACAACCCATTTCTGTAAATTTATTTCTTATTTTCCTTCTAATAAAACCTGCCTTATCTATTTTAACACTTGCAAGAAGTAGGGATATAAAAGATGCCTCTTGAAGCTTTTGATACGCACCTGAATGTATTCCGGGAGTTCTGGTTTTGCCAGAAGAGCTTGAGGCCAACCCCGAGTCTTAGCGTGGCGTAGAAATTTCAGGTATTATGCGTTCAAAAATGGTTTCCTTTTTGTTTGCGTATTTGATGTTTGCACTAAGTTCTTAAAATTCCAGGCCCTGAGACTCCTCTGAGGAGTTACCCCTCTGGTGCAGCAGTGCGACATTGTCCTGGAGGTTGAGAACGCAGGCAGAAAGTCCGCCTATTTCCCTGCCTTTATCAAACAATAGCGAACCCGTTTCCTTAACAAGGAGTTTCAGTAACACTCGGGCCAGAGCGCGCGAAGCCAGCTCCAGCGGCGCAGGCCTGTCCCACTGAACCCGCCACCCCTGAATTCCTGGGAAGGAGCCCGTTACTTGCCATCTAAATTATTGCCGTTCCATTTTGGTTTGAAGCCTCACCATCAAGGCCATTCTTATGAATGTATTCAACTGGCCAGCATTATATTTTTACCTGTAGATGTTCTTGTCTATTCACAGGTTGAATCTGAATGTAAACTAAGATTTAAAGAATCATATGCAGATGCTTTTTGCTTAACTTATGTAATGGCTTTTTTGTGACTTTTGGAAGAGGGTTAAAAACGTTGCTTTCCTAGTGTAAAGTTTTCTTAACCAAAAACTTGGTGAATTTAGCTTCACTAGTCAGTCTACCTCATGTTATTGTTTATGAACTGAAACTGTCTGAAGTTGTGGCTATGGTCTGTTTATAATGTGCTTTCATTAAATTTGAATATATGAAGTTACCATTTAACACCGCCTCTCTCTTCACCGTACGTTGCACAGAACAGTCGCTCTTTCTCTCTTCACGCGCAACAGAGCTCGCCCTGGGAAACCCACCTCACACTGCTAACCTGAGTCCCGCTCCTGGATTTTATGAAGTTAACAAGGAGGAGAGATCTTTCAAACTGGGTACGTGTGAGCTGGGAGAGCAGCTTTGTGTCAGGCAGCCCAGAGGGAGCAGGTACACAAGCTGTAAATACCACCTTTAAGCCCCCTTAAGTACAAGCAGTTGAAAGACGCGCTTATACCCACATCCCTTTTACGACAAAGCCCTTTGCAGTCTGCGCAGCACCCGCCCCTTCAAAATTACAAGTCGCAGCTTAGAGACAGCAGCGCCCACAGCCCAGAAGTCACCACCCTTCAGCTGCTTCAGGTTTAAGTCTCTGAATACTATTTCAGGGGTGGTGCCAGTTCTTCGCTTTAGCTCTACACCAAGGTTAAGGAGAGCACAATGTAAACAAAGTGTATCCTAACGCCACATAGGTTCTGAAATTAAAGATTTAATTAAATTTAAACTTATACTAGGGTTTTAAGCTATTAGTCAAGGCTGAAGGCATCACCTCTTAGTGTAAACCCTGTGCCAGGGTGGTATGGATGCGGAGGTGCTGGGGAGCTGATCCCTGGGGTGTGATGCAAACGCATTGTCACAAAGGGAATTCTGACCCCAAACAGGCACAAATGCAGCCACTGCGTTCCCCAGAGACTGCTCGAAAACATGCACCGCCCTTAACCGCTAAGGTGGTATTTCACACACAAAAGTATGAAATACACTAAAGATTCATTCACACTTAGTATCAATACGGAGTAACTTTAAAAAAAAGCTATCAAGTATTTTATTTTTAATCTATCTACATTATGTACAGATCAAGAAAGGCCACAGCAGTTTTTCAACATACAAACCCTTTAAAAGAGGAGAGATTTATGAAGGAGTGACAAGTATCAAAGCAAAGTCCGCTAACAAAGGTATATACTCAGTACAGCACTTGAAGAAAAATGATGAGTACAGCAGTCCTCAGGCTTCGCGTTCCACCTTTTACTCTACACCTCACCTGGGGGAGGAGGGGACGGGGCCAGCAGGGGTTTCCCCCTCCGATGCTGACCCCTGGCCAGCTCCCTCCCACCTACCAGAGCCCAGGATGCAGCCCAGAAGCCACCGGGCAGTCTGTGAAGGTTGTCACCCACCGACAACTGCACCGTAATGCTTCTCACCGGGCTGCAATTCAACATAGCCTTGAACTCCATCAATCAAGCAACCGCTAACGGCCTCGCCCGCCTGCTGGAACCCGTGGTCAGAGGTCGGTGTCACCGTACTGGTATATCACCACGTTAAGAACTTCAGCACGTACTCGCCAGTGAGACTAGGAGTCTTTGCATTAGTTTACAGTCCACTATGAACAATTTTCTGCGGCATGTAAACATGACTAACTAGATAAAATACAATCAAACTTTTGTAAAAGTTAATAAAATAGCTTTCTTTTAGAAAAACAAAGTTAGCCTATTACTGCATTGTTTACAATTTTAATAAAATAGTACAACCTTTTGGTTGTTACCAGTCCTGAGTTCAGTG